AATTCCTGAAGCCAGAGATTGTTGAGAAGATTCTTTGCCTTTGCATTTAGGGCAGGAACAGTGTCTGATAATTGACATCTAATATGTACGCTAAATGTGCTTTCTTCCATGATCTCTTTGATCCCTCAAAATCAGCCAATAAGGTAGTACAGGGAGTATCTCCATTTGATGGATGAGGGCACTAAGGCTTACAGAGAGCATTTCTTGGCCAAAGTCACACAGCTAGTGAGTAACAGGGAGCGGAGTCAAACTCAGGCAGGTTGAGGCCAAAGTGCATATGTGCTGCTGGTCAGCTTGGGGCCCAGCATTGAGCAGGTTTGGGGACTCGTCCTTGGCCAAGGTTGGGGAGGAAGAGCTGCTGGAGTTTTCCATGCAGGGGCTTAGAGATGTCAAAATCTGATTAGCCTTGATGGCTGTTGCTTTTCTTCTTTCTCTTCCCTCTCTCTGTCCCCCTCTTCTTTCTCCTCCTTCCTTTTATGTTGAATCACAATATTTGATTTTCTTTTATTTTTTTTCCATTTATTTTTATTAGTTGGAGGCTAATTACTTTACAGTATTGTAGTGGTTTTCTTATAAAGAAGTTTTTCTGCCTTAGAAAGATTCTTTTAAATATAAAATTGGAAATATACCCCTCTTTCTGTGACAGCTCACAATGAAGGCAGCAGAGGCAGATCCACCCCCTCCCCCTGAAGGGAAACTGGCTTGGGATTTTTCCATTGGCTTTTTTCCCCATTGGCTTTATATATATATATATATATATATATATATATTTACTTTGGGGGGAGGACCAGGTAGTACATTCATATGATTCAAAAATCAAAAGATACAAAAAGGAACATAGTGCAAGCCTCCCTTACTCCTCTGCCACCTGCCACCTGGTTTTCCTGCCTGAGGTGCAGGAAACTGAGGTGCTCCAGTTTCTTGTGTCTCTTTCCAGAGGTGTTTTATGCAAATAAAGGCATATCCCATATATATGTATATATACTTTTTAAAGGGTTATTTTCTAAACCTTGAGTTGTGAACACAGCCTAAAGCTCTCTTTTGGTCTCTTTGGCCTCTCTGTGTTGCTTGATGAGAGATAGTGAAGGCCTGTGGGTCTCCTGGGAGCCCTGGGTTTTCCTCAGAGGTTGGTCTTTCCAGGCCCATTTTTCTGGCAGGCCCTCCTGCACACAAGACTTTAGGTTCTTTTCAAAGTCCTTTCATCTAAGATAATTCATCAAGCACTCACAATAGCCCATGAAGTGCGGGAATTAGTCACCCCACTTTACAGGGATAAGGAAACAGACCCAGAAAGGTCGAGTAACTTGCTGAAAAGCACACAAGTACTTACTGTTGTTGATGTGAGGGAAGGGTTGCAGAGCAGTATGATGAGGCTTGGTCCAGCTTGGACTTTGGAAGCAAGAAGAAAGTTGTTTACTAAAAATATTTTAGTGGCACTCAGTGTGGGGTTGAGGGGGAGGGAACAATGGGGAAGTAAGGAAACTTGTAGTTCCAGCTGGGTTGGCTTCCTGGCTCTGCCACTAACAAGGGGCAAGTTACTTCACAGTTTGTGGCCTCAGTTTGCTAATCTATAGAGATGATAATACCCACCCAGCCAGGTGGATAGTGACATAGTGTAAATAAAAGTGATTTGTAAAATGGGGTATATTCTAAGCCTTGCTTCGCATTATTACTATGGTTATGATGGCTGGTCCTTTTGGTCAAAAGGGTGGGTGTTTCCTGAAGGGAAGGTAGGCTCAAACTGGGTACAAAGTTGCCCTTTCCTCAAGCCATCTTATCTAAAAAGACCCTCTCTGGCTGAGTGAATTGTAGATCAGGAGCCCTCCAGCCGGACCAGTCTTCCTTGCCAGCTCAGAACCTCCTGGGCTGTTAGAACAGCCCTGGGGCCTAAGCACAAACTCTTCCTCAGTGGGTGTCTTGAATTTACTTTGATCTGTAACTTTACCTGCAGATCAATTATTTTTATAAAGAGTTTATGTATTTATTTTTCCTATTACAAAACTAGACCATGCGTAATAAGAAAACTGGGAAAATATTGAAAAGTAGAAGAAACCAAAATTAAACCATCCTTATATCTTCTTCCCACAGAAGCCCACCTCAGTTAGTATCTTGATGTATTTCCTTTCAGTCTTTTTTCCTCTAGGCAGTTAAGATAATTCTTAGCGAAGAAATACTTTTTTCTTTTTTAAAACAGCTTTACTGAGGGTGTAATGGATAGACAAAAAGTTGCACATAGTTAATGTGTATAATTTGATGAGTTTAGACTGAGCAGAATAACTCTGTCTTGTTTGAGAATACCACTTTTGTTTGGTATTTAATTGTAAAAAATGGAAAACGATTCCTAGTTCCATCTATGAGGTTTTTTTTGCCTATTTTAACAATGGAATGAAAAGGAATCCTGAAGGCCATTGAGGTGGTGCCATCTCTCAGAACAGGCCTGGCCTAGGTTCAGCAGCTCAATCTGGGGCTCAGCCAGCAGAGCCAGTGCTGGTGAGAAGGTAGCCCTGGCTGCCCAGTGGGAAAGGGCTCCTTCTGGTTCAGGCCCATTCCTCTTGAAAGGAAAATGAAGCACTAGTATTCACCACTTTACCCTGTGGTTTTGTCTTGTGGCTGAGTCCTTCACAGGAATTTGGGTGATGACTTTGGAAGGTGGGTCCCTTAGGAAGGATTTGGATATCAGACCCAGCAAGCTTTTGAAAGGACAAACCTGGCGGGTGGTTCTTCACAGGCTGGGAATTCAGAGTTTTTATTTGTCTTCCTTGCCCTCCCCCACACCCCCACCTGCCCCATTCAGTGCCTCCTCCCTCTTCTATTTTAAAAAATTTTACATTTTGGTATAAGTAAAATTATCCTTAAGCTGAGTGTATAATTAGAATTGTGGGCATTTGAAGTAACTGGTATTCCTAGCCATCCAGGTACTCCAATGCTGTTTAATAAAAGCTTGGCTATTCCCATCCCAGGGAGGCCTGGCGTGCTGTAGTCCATGGGGTCACAAAGATTTGGAAATGACTGAGCAACTGAACTGAACTGAACTGATTCCCATCCCGGGACATGTTCAAGGCTTTTTCTACTCCCTTCTGCGGAATGCCCTTCCTCCTCTCATTAGCCTGGAGAAATACAACATCCTACAAGGCCCGGTTCAAATATCATTCCCTTTGAAATGCTCTGGGATGCTGCCCTGGCCTGGTAGGTTGCTCTCTCCTCAGTGCTCTCAGAGTTCAGGACTCCCGTTCGTTACAGAGCATGAAGCATGTTGGGATCTGGTTCTTTCTCTCCTTCTTTGCCTTGTCTGGGAGTCCCTAGATGGCCAGGATGGGGTTGTGTCCTTGTCTCCCATCCAAGTCCCAGTAGCTGTAGGAGCTGCATAAATACTTGGCGAATCAAATTCCAAAATTGTGACATTTGGCTGTCACTTCTGTTTTCTTATCTCTCTTGAGAACCCCATCTGCATTTTGCCATCTTTTCTTTGCCTTTAAGGTTATAGGAAAACCAACACATCACAACTGTATCCCATTTTCATCAAGCGTGCTTGATGGGAAGTAGCCTCTATTCATCAAGATGTCCCTCTTGGATCTGACCTGCCACCTGCTCTTCCCATCGCTGTCACTCCTGAGGCAGGATAGCTTCTCTCTGGGGAGCCAGCAAGGCCTTCCCCATGGTTGCAGCACCTGTATTCCTGTGAGCTCTGGTCAGGCCCCAGCAAAGGTCAGAGCTTGGCTTTCTGTCCCCAGGACTTACTGGAAGACACACTAGTTCCTCAGCAGGATCCAGCACTCAGAGTCACCCTATCAGGCTGGGGCAGAGCAGAACAGGGAAGCAGCAGGGTTAGTCTTTATACTTCAGCGAGAGGAAATGTTCACAACTATGTGCTGTCAGTGGTACTTTACAATGAGGAAAATGGAAGAGAGGTAGGTTTGCAAAGATTTTATTAAAAAACAAAATAAACTAATAATCCTGAAAACAGCACAGGTGGATTTCTCCCCATATGTGACCAGATCCCTCTCCCCCAAGGTTCCACCTGGATGATCCTGAGGCCCAAACCCTGCCTCTCAGCTCCCCACTGCCCCACCAACTGCCAACCAAATCTCCATGCTTTCCTCCAGCTTCTGATCTTTCTCCTTTAAGAAAATAAAAATACCCCCTCCCCAACTTGCCTAAAAATAATTTTCAAAGATTAAAAACGGCATCTGTGTGTTTTTTAAAAATAAACACTTTAAATGTTGGAAATGTTTGTCTTCCCCTAGGTCTAGTTGAGGCCTCTGGGGTGCCTGCTTGCCTCATGCTAGGAGGCCAGCTGCCACTTGGTGCCCCTTGGAAATTTTCAGGAAGTAATTTCTTCCAAATTTCCCCTGCAGTCACAAATTCCACACACTGCTTGCATAAACACGCTGTCTTCATTATAGGCACTGCTCTTTGGCTCTGGAAATTTGATCTCTTTTTGTCAACTAGACCACATGCTTCAGATTCCCTGCAAACAGGAGAGAAAACAAAATTCAAATTCAAGTAACATATGTGAACTATACCTCAATAAAGCTGTTTAAAAAGGCACTTTCATTTTGGGGCTTGTTCTTTTGCTATCCTTGGGAACCCTGAGACCCCCCCCTCCCCAACATAGGAACAAGCTCAGGCTAGGCTGCTGGATGGTGAGAGACATCTGGTCCAGTTACCCCAGCAACCACCAGCCACCCACCAGGCATGTGAGTGAGGCCTTGGACAGCTGGCTGACTGCATTGCTAGGTGAACTCAGCCAAAACCAGAAGAACCGCTCAGCTGAACCCAGCCCTATCGCCAACTCACAAAGTCATGAGCTAAACAAATGGTTGTTTTAAGCCACACACACACACACACAAATTTGGGTAATACTTTTCAGAGTTAACTGCATCAAATCTTTCCGCACCCCCAACCTTTCTTCCCCCACTTAGCAAGGTACAACCCTTTTAGCATTTTTTCTCATGAGCACCTGTGAAAGATGAATTGGGGATTTTCCCCTACTCTCAGGTCTAAGAATCTTTGAGGGAAAAGCAATCACTTGAAATCCTACAGGACTGGTCCCTCCACAGTCTTCTTCTTGACCTACTTCCCCAAGCCAAAATACTGGGCTCCAAACCCTACTGACCACTTCTACTTTAAAACAGGAAGGATGTTCCATGAGAGCAAGGACCTAGCTGTCTTACTTTTGGTTGATATCTAGCACAGTGCCTCACACATAGTAGGTGCTCAATAAATGGATGAATGGAAGAAAGGAAGGATAGAAAAATCAGCACCCACTTGCCTATCTAGTTTAATTTAAATACAGTATTAAACATACAGTAAAAGTGACTTTCTTTGCTATGTGCAGTTCTATGATTTTTAACACACGTCAAGATTCTTAAGACAGATTGGTTCCATTACTCACCAAAATTTCCTCTGCTTTCTTTTTGCAGTCACATCCTCCTCTCCCCCTCTTGCCACCTGGCAATACTGACCTATTCTCCATCACTGTAAGTGTTGTCTTTCTGAGAGTGTCATATAAATGGAATCATCAGTATGTGATGTTTTAAGACTGGATTCTTTCAAGTAGCATAATGCCTTTGATTTTCATGCAAATTTTTAGTGTATCAATAGTTTATTCCTTTTTGGGGGCAGTACTTAACTTTGTAATTTTAAAATTACTATAGATTTTTAGGAAGTTGTAAAAAAAAACTACCAAGAAGTAGCCTTCACCAAGTTTTTCCAAGTGGCAATATCTTACATAATTATTATTTAATATCAAACCCAGGAAATTGACACTGGTATGATTCACAGACCATATTTAAATTTTGCCAGTTTTATATGCACTTATTTGTGTGTGTGTGTATATTCTATGAAATTTTTATCACATGTGTAAATTTGTATAACCCCCACTGCAAGAGGGCTTCCCTCATAGCTCAGTTGGTAAAGAATCCACCTGCAATGCAGGAGACCCCAGTTTGATTCCTGGGTCAAGAAGATCACCTGGAGAAGGGATAGGCTACCCACTCTAGTATTCTTGGGCTTCCCTTGTGGCTCAGCTGGTAAAGAATCCACCTTCAATACAGGAGACCTGGGTTCAATCCCTGGGTTGGGAAGATCCTCTGGAGAAGGGAAAGGCTACCCACTCCAGTATTCTGGCCTGGAGAATTACATGGACTGTGTCCATGAGGTTGCAGAGAGTAGGACACGACTGAGTTACTTTCACTTTCATTTTCCACCCCAAGAAGATACAGAACTATTCCATCACCACAAGATCTCCCTCAAGCCACCTTGTTAACTCCCCTCCACCCCTTATCTTTAAGCCCTGACAACCATTAATCTGGTCCCTAGGTCTATAACTTTGTAATTTCAAGAACATTATATAAATGGACTCATACAGTATATAACATTTTGAGATTTTTTTTTTCCTCACTCAGCACAATGCCATTAAAGATCCATCAAGGCTGTTATGTGCATTAAGTTAGTTCCTTTTTTTTTTCATTTATTTTTATTAGTTGGAGGCTAATTACTTCACAGCATTGCAGTGGGTTTTGTCATACATTGGCATGAATCAGCCATGGAGTTACATGTATTCCCCATCCTGATCACCCCTCCCACCTCCCTCTCCACCCAAGTTAGTTCCTTTTTGTTTGCTGAGTAGTATTCCATGGTATGTACATAGCACAGTTTGTTTAACTACTTACTCATTGAAGGATATCTGGGCTATTCCCAGTTACATATATTTATGTGTATTTTATACACACACACACACACATATATACATAAAGCTGCTATGAACATTCACGAACATATTTTTGTGTAAACACACTTTTAATTTCTCTAGAATAAATGCCCAAGAATGCAACTGTGGGGCCCTATGGTAATCACATGTTTAATTTTATAAGGAACTGTCAAACTGTTTTTTAGAGTGGCCATACTATTTTGTATCCCCACCAACACTGTATGAAGGATCTAGTTTCTCAGCATTCTTGTTAACATTTGGTGGTGTCACTAGTTTTTATTTTGACCATTCTGATAGGTAGGGATCTCTCATTGTGGTCTCAATTTGCATTTTCCTAATGGCCAATAATATTGAACATCATTTCATGCACTTATTTGCTGTCTGTATATCCTCTTTACTTATTTTATTAATTTTTTTTACTGTTGAGTTTGGAGAGTTCTTTATATATTCTAGATATAAATCTGTTGTTGGATATATGATTTGCAAGCATTTTATCTCAGTATATAATTTGTCTTCACATTCTTCTTTTTTGGTCAAGTCATGTGGCTTGTGCGATCTTAGTTCTCTGACCAGGGATTAAACCCAGGTCCTTGGCAGAGAAAGTGTAGAGTCCTAAACCACTGGACTGCCAGGGAATTCTGATTTTTCATTCTTCTAACTTTTGGAAAGCAAAAGTTAATTTTTTGGATCATGGCTTGGGTGTTTTCAACCCTTAAGTTCATAATCTCTGGATACTCTTTGATTCTTCATCTTTTACTCTCCACATCTTATGAGCTGCCAGATCTAACCTCAAGATGTCTTCCAAATCTGTCCTCTCTTTTCTGTTCCCCTCTCTCCACCTCAGTCATAGCTCTCGTCACTCAGGTCACTGCAAAAGCCTTTTAACTGGTGCTCCCACTTCTGGAGCTGTCCCCCACACAATTCTAGCTGTGATCACATGCCTCCTCTGCTTCATAATAACTTCAGCAGCTCCCGAGCACCTATGAATGAAATCTAACACCTTAGCTTACACGTGTCCCATCCATACTTTCCCATTTCCATGTGAGCCTTTGCATGTGTTGTTGAACTCTGCTGAGGAGACCTACAGGGGGTCCTGGTGCTGAAGCGAGCGTGCTTCCATCTATAAGAACAGCCAGAGCTTGATGAATGAGTGAGTGCACAGTTGAACAAAATCCCATGTCCGAGTGTCCCAATGACACATGTTCACAGAAAGGAAAGGTGGGTGTTGTGTCTCTACTGCTCTGTCTCACTCTCTAGTTACATTTGGAGGCAATTAAGAAAAACAACAGAAATAGTTTCCACCAAAAGTTGATGATGAGCAATATTGAGTTTGGGTAACAATGAAAATGTAAGCTTAAATAATGCCCATTGTTTTCCCCTCACATCTAGCTTTTCCAGCAGTGGGTGGCAGCCTGAGAAAATTCTAAAGGTCAGCATGGTCTGCAGCCTGGAGAGACACAGAGTACAGATCAGAGGGGCAAACTCAAATGTCTATAGAGGCCAAGAATATACTGGATGTCAGTAGAACAGACTGGGGGTAAGACATATGGATCCCTCTGGATCCGTTTTCTTTTCCCTACTTTGCAGAATGGCATGAATATAAGAAATCATTTCCTTTTTTCTTAATTCTATTACAAAAGAAAACAACACCAAAATGGTGTCAGCAAGATGAGAAATGGAAACTCACAGTTGGCCTAGAGTAGGAGATACAACAGGGAAAGGTGGAATTTGTGGCAAACAGGAGGGTACCTGCTCACAAAGGTGGCAGTTGCTACTTGGTTCCAGCCATTCACTAGTGAGCAGGAATGTGGGTCAGATCTTTCCACTTTCCAAGAGAAGTCAGACATTCACATCTTTATACAGAGTTTTCGTAGTGTGAAATGTGGACAACTGCTTTAAATGTTTAAAGAATATCACATGGCACATTAATCTGTGAGGCTAAACAAAACAATTTTGGAGACAAGATGTGGCTCACAGGCTCCTAGTTTGTGATCTCTGGGATAGTTCTTATACCCATAGCACCCCATTTCACTCTCAAGTATCTTGGTTTTGACAATACATTATATCCTTATCCTAACTGATGTACAAGAAGGTGTACTGAACTGGGACTCAGGAGGCTTGGGTTCTATTGATTCATCGACTGACTGATTCATTTGTTCATTCATTTATTCAATCAACATTTATTGAGTATCTATTCTTTGCCAGTACCAGGTGCTTGTGAGCACTCTACTCTTTTTCATTGTTGCTGCTAATTAATAACTTTATTTTTGGAGCAGTTTTAGGTTTACAGAAAAACTGAGCAGAAAGTGTGGAGATCTCTCATATTCCTCTGTTCCTCATCTCCCCCAGGAGGCAATTTCCCCTATTATTAACATTTTGCATTAGTATGTACATTTTTTATAGCTGATGAATGAATATTGATACATTATTATTTAGTGCATAGTTTACATTAGGGCTCACTTTTGGTGTTGTACAGGCCTATGAGTTTTGAAAAGTATATAATATTATGTATCCATCATTACAGTATCACACAGAATAGTTTCACTGCTCTAAAATTCTTATGCTCCACCTATTCATCCCTCCCTTCCTTTCCTTAACCCCATCGCAGCCACTGATATTTTTACTGTCTTTATAGTTTTGTCTTTTCAAGAGTGTCATATGGCTAAAATCATGCAGTATGTAGCCTTTTGAGAATGGCTTCCTATACTAAGTGATACACATTTAACATTATTCTACATTTTATCACTTAATAGCTCATTTCTTTTTAGGGCTGAAAAATATTCCATTGTCTGAATGTACCATAGTTTATCCATTCACCTACTGAAGGACATCTTCGTTGCTTCCAAGCTTTGGCAATTATGAATAAAGCTGCTACAAACACTCATGTGCAGGTTTTTGTGTGGACATAAGTTTTCATCTTATTTGAATAAGTGGCAAGGAGTGGGACTCTATGTTAAAACTATGTTTTAGTTTTGCAAAAATGGCTGTACTAGTTTGCATTCCCACCAGCAATAAATGAGTTCCTGTTGCTCTACATCCTTGTCAACATTTGGTGGTGTCATTGTTTTGGTTTTAGCTATTCTATTAGGTATGTAGTGGAACTCATTGTTTTAATTTGTAATTCCTTAGTGACATGATAGTGAGCATACCTTAATGTACTTAACTGCCACCTGTGTAGCTTCTTTGGTAAGGTGTGTATTAAGATCTTTGGCCCATTTTTTGGATTGGGTTGTTTTCTTATTGTTGAGTTTTAAGAATTCTTTGTATGTTTTGGCTAACTGTCCTTATTGGATATGTGTTTTGCAAGAATTTCTCCCAGTCTGTGGCTTGTCTTTTTATTCTCATAATTTTTAGTCTTTTTAATGTAGAGCAGTGCTGTCCAATAGAACTTTCTGGGATGATGGAAATG